TTCGTCCGATTTTAAGTAAATGGTGCACCAAAGTCCCTAAATATCTTTCGATATGCACGAAATTTGACACTGCTCACTGAATTGAGTCTAGAATGATGTGTGTTAAGTTTCGTGAAAATCGATTAAGATATAGATATAGCTCCCATATATATTTTCGTCCGATTTAAGGTAAATGGTGCACTAAAGACCCTATATATTCTTCGATTTGCACGAAATTTGGAACAACGTAATGAATAAGGGGTAGAATGATATGTGCTGAGTTTCCTGAAAATCGGTTCAGATTTAGATATAGCTCCCATATATATTTTCGTCCGATTTTATGTAAATGGTATACCAAAGTCCTTATATATATTTTTCGATTTGCACGAAATTTGGAACAGCCTAATGATTTAGGTCTAGAATGATGTGTGCTAAGTTTCGCAAAAATCGGTTCAGATTTAGATATAGCATCCATATATATTTGTGTCCGATTTTAGGTAAATGGTGTACCAAAGTCCCTATATATCTTTCGATTTGCACGAAAATTGGTACAGCCAAATGATTTAGGTCTAGAATGATGTGTGTTAAGTTTCCTGAAAATCGGTTCAGATTTGGATATAGCTCTCATATATATTTTCGTCCGATTTTATGTAAATGGTGCACCAAAGTCCCTATATATACTTCTTTTTGCACGAAATTTGGCACAGCGTTATAAATAAGGTCTAGAATGATGAGTGCTAAGTTTCGTGAATATCGGTTCAGATTTAGATATAGTTCCCATATATATTTTTCCGATTTTCGTCCGATTCGGACGAAATTTGGCATATCGTAATGAATTAGGTCTAGAATGGCGAATGACATAGGGTACTGAATTAGCTCGAGAATGATGTGTGCTAAGTTTCGTGAAAATCGATTCCGATTTAGATATAGCTACCATATATATTTTCATGCGATTTTATGTAAATGTTGCACCAAACTCTTCATGTTTGTAATATTGACATGAAATTTTGAAGAACGTATAAAATTTAGCATAGAATGACGTAATTGCGTTCTGTAGAAGTTCAGATATAGTCCATATAAATTCCCGACCATGTTAAATTGGGCTCCACATATTCAATGAGTGCCCGATTGATATTTTTTTTTAAATCGATTTACTATTGTCCCATTGTAACATTTATGGATTAAGTCGGTTCACATTTACATAAAGGTCATGTTAATGGCCCTTCTGTTGTGATGCATCTTTTTAAGATACCCATAGGGGTGAAGGGTATCATATAGTCGGCCCCGTCTGACTTTGCTGCTGTCCTTACTGGTTTAACTTAATTTAATAATTATTTCTTAAATTTATTTTTCTTTCTACAGACAATTGGTAATATTTACCCCACTAATGGTCCATCTCCGGATATTTTAATACCAGATATACCCGAATTTGGTTTGCGTCGCAAACGTAGTGGAAAATATGGTTTGAATTATGAAATACCCATGAGTGAGTAGGAATAGTTTCAGAAGGTTTTTTTTTTATAAAAAATAAATAAAATATTTTTTTATTTATTTTTGCAGATTGCCAGCGGGTCAGATCCGGTACCGAGAAACGTGTGACCAAGGGTTAATTTGCATATAACAAAATTATAATAAAATTTGAAAATTTGATTTGAAATTTGTTAATAAAAAATAAGAAATTTTAATAAAGTGAATAAAAACGTGAGAGCCTAAAAGTATGCTTTGAATTTTGTATCTAGCAGTTACAGTGCTTTTCAAACTATTTTGTGCCTTCCTCCAAATTCACTAAGCGATATTAATATTAGTTACTATTTTTTGTGTGTTTAGGCAGATATATGTCTGTAAGCATTTTATGTCAATTGTTGTGAGATGGGTAATTTAAACAAATTGGACACACACACTCAGAGCGCCTACCCCAACCACCTTCCCTGTGATGCTCCTCCTCAGAAAAAAATCTCTCACATCTTTAAAGAAAAAAATTATTTAATAAAATTAATAAAGCTAATTTGCGCTCACAGACAGATTTTGTTGTTGTTGTTGGTATTTTTTTATTGCCCCTAAACACAATCCAATGAACTTTCAAATCCAAATCTAAGACCCGCCACTTACTTACGCACACACGCAAATAAATTGTCATATTATTTTTAGAATTTTCAATGAGGTTTTGAATTGTTTTTTTTTCTTCTTCTTCTTCTTCTACGAAAGATTTTCTTCAATGGAGGCAATTTTTACTATCGACACCGCTTCTTCTCTAATTCATAAAAAAGAAAATATGACAACCACTTAGGCAGGGCAATTTACTATTTATCCACCACTTAGGGGGAGAGTAATTTGTAGCCGACACTCGTGAGGTTCTTGTGTGTGAAAGCCGCACGTTTGGCAAAAATTGTAACTAATTTACACCCTCTGTAAATGATTTTGGGGGAAAGCAGATGATCTATTCTATATTTGTTTATATTTGCTGTGAAGGTCTTTTCGGATCTCCACGAGGAAGACAGTGGCTGGACACTAGAAAATTAATTTTAAAAACTTCAGGCCTATGGCTGGACAGTAAAAATTCCGTGCAAATCGAAGAATATATAGGGTTTTTGATGCACCATTTACTTTAAATCGGACGAAAATATATATGGGAGCTATATCTAAATCGGAACCGATTTTCAGGAAATTTAACACACATCATTCTATACCTAATTCATTGATGTGCCAAATTTGTACCAAAGATATATAAAGGCTTTGGTGCACATTTACATTAAATCGGAAGAAAATATATATGGAAGCTATATCTAAATCTGAACCGATTTTGAAACTTAACACACATTATTCTACATCAAATTTCGTGCAAATCGAAAGAATATATATGGTAGACCATTTATATCGAAAATATATATGGGAGCTATATCTAAATCTGAACCGCTTTTTAGGAAACTTAACACAAATCATTGTAGACCTAATTCAGTACACTGTGCCAAATTTCGTGCAAATCGAAAGATATTGAGGGGCTTTGGTACACCATTTGCCTTAAATCGGACGAAAATATATATGAGAGCCATATCTAAATCTGAACCGAATTTCATAAAACTTAACGCACATCGGTCTAGGGTTTATTCAGTACGCTATGCCAAATTTCGTGCAAATCGAAAGATATATAGGGACGTTGGTGCCCTATTTACAAAAAATCTGACAAAAATGTATATGGCAGCTATATCTAAATCTGGACCGATTTTCAGGAAACTTAACACAAATCATTCTAGGCCTAATTCATTACGCTGTGCCAAATTCCGTGCAAATCGAGAGATATATAGGGACTTTGGTCCACCATTTACATTTAATCAGACGAAAATATATATGAGAGTTATATCTAAATCCGAACCGATTTTTCCCAATTTCAATAGGGCTTGGCCTTGGGCCAAATAAGTGATCTATGCCAAATTTCATCCAAATCGGATCATAAATACGACCTGTACTTTGTTCACAATAATACATGGACAGACGGACACATGGACATGCGTTAATAGACTCAGAAAGTGATTCTATGCATATTCTCAAAAGGAATCATGTGTCTAAAAAATCCACGCCTATAAATAGGCCTTGATATCATATTTCCCTATTCTTTTCCAACACTCATAACATCCTTCATCTGCATCGATTGCTGTCTTTGCTACAATTATGTCTTTGCAGATGGCGTTGACGTGAAGATGGCGTCCTGGCATATCCAAATTAATGACATGTGTCAGCTTGGAGTAGGTGGTTTTTGGGACCTATATACCCAATACCCTTAATATTAGATAATTTTTTTTGAATCTGAGAATAAACAAAGAAACTGAACCCACGATTTCTTACATGTACCCACTGTTCCGACGCTTGAAATATATTTTTCAAAAATCCACGCCTATATATAGGCCTTGATATTAGAATTCCCTATTCTGTTCCCCACAAATAAAATCCTTCATCTATATCGATTGCTGTCTTTACTAATTTAGGTCTGCACCCATGACGTGCAGATGGCGTCCTGGCATATCCAAATTAATGACATTTGTCAACTTGGAGTAGGTGGTTTTGGGGAGCTATGTATCCAATACCATTAATATTAGATAATTTTTGAATCTGAGAATAAACAAAGAAACTGAACCCACTATTTCTTACATGTACCCACCGTTCCGAAGCTTGAAATAATTTTTTTAAAAAAATCCAAGCCTATAAATGGTCCTTGACATTATAATTCCCTATTATGTTCCCCACAAATAAAATCCTTTATCTGTATCGATTGCTGTCTTAACTAATTTAGGTCTGCACCTATGACGTGCAGATGGCGTCCGGGCATATCCAAATTAATGACATTTGTCAGCTTGGAGTAGGTGGTTTTGGGGAGCTATGTACCCAATACCATTAATATTAGATAATTTCTTTGAATCTGACAATAAGCAAAGAAACGGAACCCTCGACGTCCTACTTTTACCCACTGTTCCGATTTGTTTTCTATTCTAAATGAAAAATCTCGCCTAAATAAAATTAAACCTAAGCCATTGTAAAGATTTGTCGTCGTATACACTCACTCTCTCGCGCTCTCTTTTAAGTAAGCCACACATAACCTCACAGCCACAGCTGCCGATCTCCATGAGGAAATTACTTTAGAAAAAATACAACTGAAATTGAAAAAAATAAAAACAAAAACAAAAATAACAACTAAAATAAATCCGAAGAATAAGCAAAGCTAATAAGAAGAAATGCAAATGCTTACTCAAATTTAGTTATAGTCGGGAAACGAACGAATTGAGATCAAGAACGGTGAAGCGTAGAAAAGAAATACGCAGTGAAGTGGAATTTCAAATGCTCACAAAAAATAGAAAGGAAACGGAAATAAAAAAAATGTCCTAATGAAATCGTGTAGAGAAGAAAAAAGGATATAACGAATTGAAAATATTTTTTGGGGGTTTTTTGGATAGAAACCCTCAAATCGGCGCCGGAGACCTGTGTGATATTTTTTTAAAATATTTTATTAGTTTTTTTTTTTAATAAATTAAAAAAATTATTTACCCTACAAAATGAATGTCGACGAGGTGCGAGAAAGTCTCCAAAGTTTCGGCTGGGTCGATTATATGGTTTTTGTTTTAATGTTGGCCAGCTGTGCCGCCATTGGTGTCTATTTTGCATTGCAAATGCGCCGCAAAGCGAAACTCAATCAGGATTTAACCAATAAGGATGCGGAAGATGATTATTTGGTGGGCGGCAGGAAAATGAAAATTTTCCCCATTGCCATGTCGCTGATATCGAGGTGAGTAGGAGAAGTTTGAGGAAAAAATGTATGATGCAATAAAGAAAGCGGAACTTAAGAAGACTTCATGGAGTTCAAAATGGAATTTAGGAAAAAATCGAACAGTTTAAAATTATCTTCACTTGCCTGGAATGGAGTTTGGGAATTTGTCATAGATATTTATGGGGTAGATGTGGTTCTAGTCTCAACATTCTTTAGTTCAGATATTTCAAACGTAGATGGACCCTAGAAACATATTTTTTAAAAATCCACGCCTATGGATGGACCCTAGAAAAATATTTTTTAAAAATCCACGCCTATGGATGGACCCTAGAAAAATATTTTTTAAAAATCCACGCCTATGGATGGACCCTAGAAAAATATTTTTTAAAAATCCACGCCTATGGATGGACCCTAGAAAAACATTTTTTTAAAAATCCACGCCTATGGCTGGACCCTAGAAAAACATTTTTAAAATCCACGCCTGTGGCTGGACCCTAGAAAAATATTTTTAATATCCACGCCTGTGGCTGGACCATAGAAAAACATTTTTTAAAAATCCACGCCTATGGCTAGACCTTAGACCTATGTCTGCTGGAAAATTAGATTTCATATCGGCAGCGGTACCGGATTGAACCAATCTAATTATCTTGAAATCGTGATGGTTGTCTCAGCTAATTTTAGTATCACAAATTTTGATATGTAGATGGCGTCCTTGATCTATTGACATTCCCTAGATTTCAATAGGTGGTCGGGATCAAATTGGTATATTACCATTAATATTAAATTATAAATATGACAATTTCTTAACCGAGATAATCAAATAATAGGTCCGTATTAATCTAAAGCGGTTGTATTTTTTAGTACTGCAATTTTTGCGTGTAGATGGCGCAATCTATTTAATGCCAACCGTTAGCCTTTAGTAGGTGGTTTTGGGGAAGGATTTATCCCCATTACCATTAATATTAAATTGTAATTATGACAATTTTGGAGCCGCGATAATCCCAAAAAGTGAACCCGGAATAGCTGAAGAAATTTGAAATATTGGAGAAAATCGGCACAGTTTATTTATTTTTTTCATCTGGACCCATTTGAAGCCATCTTAGATAAAATACGGAAGTATAGACCGGTCTTGTAGATAACTTTTTTGGTATTTAGTGTTGACCACATTGGCTCAACTTAACGCCGGAGTTTTGGTCGGTTGACGACTTTGCTAATTGAAGTATTTGGAAATTTTGACGTGTAGATGGCGTCATTGGTTTAATGATATTCGTTAGCTTTTAGTAGGTAGAGTTGGGGATTAATTGTTTGGGATTTAATTGTAATTATGACAATTGTGGAGCCGGGATAATCCCAAATAGTCAACCAGAAATTACTGCAGATCTTTCAAACATTGGCGAAAATCGGCATGATTTATATTGTTTTTCATTTGAACCCAAGAAGCCATTTGAGATAGAAAACAGAAGTATAGATCAGAAAATTATCTAGTAGATAAACATTTTGGTTTTAAATTTTGGGCTATGCTGGCTCAACTTATCGTCAGTGGCTAGGTGGGTGTCGGCTTTGCTAATTGTAGTATTTGACGTGTAGATGGCGTTATCGGTTTAATGGCATTCGTTAGATTTTAGTAGGTGGTTTTGGGGAGCAATTTGTTACATTATCATTAATTAAAATTATGACAGTTTCTAAGCTGAGGTAATCTCAAAAACGGGACCATATATTGCTGTAGAACCTATAATTATCGTGGAAATTGGCACAAATTAAATTAGTACCCATTTGGACCAAACAAATCCTATGAGATTGAACTTTGATATTTTGAATAGAATATTATCTGGTAAATATAAAATCTCTTACTGCATTCGAATCACATTGGCTAACCAATTGACAGATTTTTTGGCATTTCAGTGAGGTTTGGTCTATGTATAAGATCTCCTGCTGTATTCGGATCACATTGGCTCAACCTATTGCCAGATTTTTCGCCATTTCAGTGAGATTTAATCTCATTCCCGCACTGAATAGCCCAATATCCCATATATGTATATTCCACCCACAAAACCGTGACCTTCAGTAAGATGAATATCATTCACTTCACCGAGAAGCCTAAATTCGAATTAAAAAAAAATTATATATAGACACTTGTATGTATCTATATGAGTGTGAGTACACACTTATTGTCCAAATCTAAAGGTCAATTAAAATACAAAGAAACAGAATACAAACTACCTTTTTATTCTTTTCATTCGATACACAAATTGTGTGGCACTCTTGTGATGGTTTGAATTGTTGCAAAGAGTGTATGTCTCGCGTTCAGCCTACGACAACAATAACAATAGCAGCAGCTACAACAATAAAAGAAATAAATCTTAGTTTAAACTCTTGATTTCATTTTGTCATAATCTTCCTACAAAAAAAATAAATACTGTAACATTTCTTCCGAACAATTAGCTAGAAAATGAAGAAGAAATCGCCGCAAAGATATGAGCGGATCTATGCTGTGCTAGATTCAGCTTTTAGCTTTTATGGAATTTATGAGAAAATAATAAACGAAGAATTGGGGATTACACAGAGCGACAGAATTTTTGGAGGAAAAATTTGCAAATCGCGTTAATTATATCCTCCACTGTGACGTTAAGACCCCAAATAAATATTTTTGATATTTTTGATCGGAATAAAATTCGATGCAGCTTAAGCCATTTGATGTAGAATATATCCTGCATTGGTTTCAATCTTCCAGAATTAAATCTTGCCTGGCTTCTATTCAAATATGTTCTAAATTATTATTAAAAGGAAAAGAGTAGTCTTTTGTTTATATAGCCAATTTTTTAACGATTATTATATATATATATATATATAAATATTATATCTACACATTCCTCTTGTTTGCTGACATATAGTGAAATTTTGCGTAGAATATTTCCTTCATTGTAAAGAAGCTTCTATAACCTAGGTATGTGGGCGATATTGCCACCTCTTCGAAATAGCCGCAAACTAAACCTTATGTGCAATATCGTCTGGTTGTACTCAATTTACTGTCGCTATATAAATAATAAATAATTAATGCAGGAAATTATTTTGTGTGAAGACCCATATCAAAATTCGGAGTAGAATATTTTATTTATTGGTGGCAAGCTGCTAAAGCAAAAAATTGTGGGAGTTATTGCCACTTTTTAAATATTAGTCTAACTTGAACCTAACAATTAGCACTTTTTGACAATACCAAAATATTATCGATATTTTATAGATAAATATTACAGTTAGAGATTTCTCTTGTTTGGAAGTTTATTAGAAAAACTTGTGTAGAATATTTCTTTCATTGTATGCAACCTTGTAAAACCAAGTTATTTGGGCGATATTGCCACCTATTCGAAATAACCTCAAATTGACCCAAACGATAAAACCATTTCATTACACCCTTATTATCTATATTTAAGTTATAAATATTATATTTAAAGATTTCTATTGTTCGGTGACGCATAGTGAAATTTTATGTAGAATATTTCTTTCATTGTGTGCAGTCTTCAAAAACCTAGAGATGTGGGTGATATTGCCACCTATTCGAAATAACATCAAATTGGACCTAAATGCAAACCATTTTTAATATATCCCTATTACTATCTATATTTTAGTTATAAATATTATATTTAAATATTTCTTTTGTTCGGCAACCCACAGTGAAATTTTGTGTAGAATATTTCTTTCATTGTGTGCAGTCCTCGAAAACCTAGGGATGTGGGTGATATTGCCACCTATTTGAAATAATATCAAATTGAACCTAAATCACAAAGCCTTGTTATCTATATCTATATTTTCGTTATAAATATTATATTTAAAGATTTCTTTTGTTCGACAACCCATAGTGAAATTTTGTGTAGAATATTTCTTTCACTGTTTGCAACCTTGTAAAACCAAGGGATTTCAGCGATATTGCCACCTATTCGAAATAACCTCAAATTGGACCTAAATCACAAAACCATGTTATTATGCCTTTATTGTTATCTATGTTTTAGTTATAAATATTATATTTAAAGATTTCTTTTGTTCGGCAACCCATAGTGAAAACTTGTGTAGAATGTTTCTTTCACTGTTTGCAACCTTGTAAAACCAATGGATTTCGGCGATATTGCCACCTATTCGAAATAACCTCAAATTATACCCAAACCACAAAACCTTTTTATTATGCCTTCTTGCTACTTATATTTTAGTTATAAGTATTATATTTAAAGATTTCTTTTGTTCGGCAACCCATAGTGAAATTTTGTGTAGAATATTTCTTTTATAGTATGCAACCTTGTAAAACCAAGATTTACGGGCGATATTGCCACATATTCGAAATAACCTCAAATTGTATTGCTACCTATATTTTAGTTATAAATATTATATTTAGATATTTCTTTTGTTCGGCAACCCTTAGTGAAATGTTGTGTAGAATATTTCTTTCATTGTATACGACCTTGTAAAACCAATATTTACGGGCGATATTGCCACATATTCAAAATAACCTCAAAATGGACCTAAATCGCAAAGCCTTGTTATTATACTCTTATTGATAACTATATTTTCGTTATAAATATTATGTTTAGAGATTTCTTTTGTTCGACAACCCATAGTGAAATTTTGTGCAGAATATTTCTTCCTTTGACACCACTGTGCAGCACCAAGTATTGTAGAGGATATAGGCTGCAATTGTAAATAATCTCAAATTATACATCGTGTTTTTCGAATTTCACTTTTGTTCTTAATTTATGTGCTATAAAATATTTTAATATTTGTTTTTTAATAGCTTAAAGCCAAACTATAAAAAACATTTACTATAATTTTTTCTATTTCCTATAATTTTTTTTAAAGTTTTGTTTGTTGCAATTTATAACAACACAACGTGTTACAATCTTCTTAGTAACTATTAACACGACGTGATATTGGCAGAATTTTATTGCAACGACAACAACAAAAATTTCACATAGCTTGTTGTTGTAATTACAAATAATTATTTTCGATTAGGATTAAATCATATACACACGCGT